TTTACTCCAGGACTTATGAAAGAGTTAAAAGGTAAATACATTTCTCACTCAAGATGGACTGGTATTATTTAGAAATAGTTACTCGGAAAATAATTAATTGCAATGCTTCATTAATAATGCCACTATAAAAATATCGTGCGAGCGAGATCGGGCTAAGACCTTTAAAGTCGCATCCCACCCTCACATGTGGCGGTGTGGAGCAGTGGTAATGTGTCGCCACTCCACAATATAAGTCGGGTTAGAATTCCACTGGAAGTAGCTGTGAGTCTAGTGAGAATTAGAATACTTTTTGAGAAAATCAATGGCATCGTAATCCTAATTTATTAATTATGGATTATCATTATTATTTATTATCAACCATCAAATAATCAGTCCCTTCTATGAAACATGATGAATACAGTTTTTATTCAAGACCCATTGGTAGTATCTAGACGCAGCATGATTCTATCTGAGGAATTGTGGGTGAAACCAAGGCTGGTTGGTAGGAATGTTTTAGAATCCGCCTCAAAAATGGCCGCGTGCAAATTGACCAAGCGTAGCAAAACGTCCAAAGATCCATCCGAGCTCACATCCGAACGAGGCATCAAGATGTTCAGCAATTGGGACGAATAGTTGAGGACTCAAATCGTTGTGCTTGGAACGTATGCTGGTAATGGTATCAAAAGAAGGTCCAAGAAAGCCTGTGGCCGGGTGAGGGTTTAATGAACGCCAATTGTGTTGCTCAGACTAACCAGAGAGAGACATAACAAGCTCGATCCAAGTAGTAGAACGGCTGGGCAGACGTCTATCCAAGCTACAAACACTAAACCTGTCATTTGTGTAGGAAGGAAGATGAGTGGAAAAACCCATCTTGGTGGCGTACACAGGCGAGGCTAACATGGAAGGTGAATGAAGCGAAGCCTAAAAGTGGCGGAGTTTCGCCCAGAAATCGCGAAATCCTGCCCCCCCGAACCAAGTTCGTTACGAAATCAGGCCCTTTTTGCAGGCAATAAACGAGAAAGAAACCGTCGTAATGGCAATGAAGCGCCAGTAAAGCCGTAAAGCAAAAAAGAGTGAAGAGAGAAGGAAAGAGACAAAGGAGGCACAACATGGAACAACATGGTATAGACCCGAATGAACCGATAAAACCATGAACCAACCGAGAATGTTGACAGTTTGACCTGATTTTGGAAGTCTAGATGCGGTTCATAGGCAGATGGGGCGAGGTTGTAAATAATAGGGGCCGCCAAAACCCATAAAGCAACCAAATCGCATTCACAGCTAACGCACAGCAACATAGTCATGTGTTACTCCTAAAGAAAGTGCATGAGTAGAGGCGAGTGAATGACATTTATGGTCATGGCATATAGGGAAAAAGGTGAGATAAGTGATGGTGGCCTGTCAAATGACCGCCGAAAAATCGCTGAAAAAAGAGAACGGTCGACAATAGTAGCAAGAGAGGAGGGAAGACGTCCAGACAACAGGACCTGGTGGCGGCCTACCATTCAGGAGGATTAGCCGGTCAACAGGGCAGATTCAACAATAGGAAGAAAGAATGGTTTCCGAAAATGCCAGATTAGAATTGTGTTGGCGTATCTTTCCTTTCGTTTGACGAGGCGAGCAGAAGGAATTTATGAGTTTGCCTCGCCAGAATTCAAAGGGGGATCAGACTTGCAGTTGTGACCGTAGATTTGCGCCAATATCTTTCTGGATTCACCATCCCGCGACCTCATAAAACCGTGATGAGATTGCAACTATCCCAGAAAAGCATGCTTTACGAAAATTTACCAAACACAAGGACAGCAAAAATGAGAAAAACGAAGCCTAAATACAGATTCCTCGGGGTTAGCGCGATTATATTCTGTTTCAAAGCTATCATTCCGGTTTGACCACGAGCTTAAGATGAGATACGAACCGATAGTAAAGTTTTTCATACACCAAAATGAATAAGCCTCAGGACGGCGGGCACCCCTCGCCAAAGGTTTTCTCAATCCATTCCGACTGGAATGCAAATTCCATCTCGCCCCATCGTTTCATCCACACCCACAAAGGGATTCGGAACCGGGTCGGGAGCATATTAGCAACGTATTATCACGAATTGGACTACGTAGTAACAGAATCACAACTTGACAAGTAGCAGTGTTAGCAAATTCAGTTAAAAAACTCTCAGTAATTTTCAGAATTAGTGCAACAACAAATAACCTCGGAGGATGATATATTAATACGCTTCGATGTGGTAGCTATACGTACCAACATTCCGATTCAGAGCCATTCAAACTCCAGCACTCGGAGATAACACACACTTTAAGACTTCATAGCCAATCCGTGACTAGTACTCATTTCGCCCTAGACGGTAAGATTAAGGAACAGACACAGGCCGGATCGCATTTGGGCAAAAATTAGATAAAGGACTTTGAAGAAAGCTAAATCGAGGAGGCAATGCTAACTCCAAAATTGTTAGTTAGATATGTGAATGACTATTTTATCATTTGGCAAGTTAACCAATAGTAAAGTAATGGTAAATTCACATCGGTATGATAAAAGAAAAGTCGTTCACTCATTTTTGGTGTTATGCTTATTGAGAAATGGAGTAAGTGGAACAGAGAAGTTTCCTATCTAATTCTACCAAGATAACAAAGGTTAACATTTAGACTTCAACTATTATTATGAGCGCGAGGCTTGCCGACAGAAATAATTTAACTAAAGAGTTAGAAATGCTAAAAAAGTTTAAATGAAAATAGTATCCCTTTAAATAGGAATAAATTTTCAGATTAAGTCTATTTACTCAAAGATAGATAAGTATTTTCTTAAGGTCGCATTTTTCAATCTTTCTAAGAAACTAGTCGACCTGGAGACGAAGTTTTCAAAGAAAACCTGTCACGTCCTTCGTTTATGCCATATTTAAAAAAAAGACCCATTATCAAATCCATCTGTTATAAAATTGTATCCTCATGTGGCCCTTCTTACGTTGGTGTGATCTGTTCTAGAAGCTTAGCTGAACACAAAAACATATGCAAAGACAAATTGCTTTAAAGATTAGGATGGGCTGTGTACACGATAGAAATTCGAGACGAAATAGAATCATCTAAAAGAGAGAAGTTCTATGATAGCATGATGCTAAAATCGAGACAAGAGAGGCTATGGAAATCCATGGGCTGAAGAACAAGTTGAATATATGGAATGTAGGTAGGGTGTAGAGTAAGAACTCCTCATTCTCGAGCAAAAGAAGGCCATTCGACTAGTCAGCTCGTTAGTGGTTCTGACTACTCTCAGATTCGTTCGACCTATTAATCTTGGTGACATTGGACTAAAAAGTTATGATTACTGATGTCCTGTCTAGACTAAGAGACATACAGATTTACGAATGGTAACACACGCACACCTTGGATGATCCTGTCAAAGTTTATTCACAAAGTAAGCTTGCCATTATGAGCAATGACTTATGCAGAAAAGGAATGAACCGGTGTTGGAAAAAACAATTTTGGGCTAAGTAGATAGAGCATAACCAACGCCAATGACTAGACTTCCCGTGGCCTACAATGAGGATGAGAAACAATGTGCAACGGAGAATAAGAACATCCTCATAGCACAAAGATGACCTCTGCGCAATCAATAGACCAAAGTGAAAACCCGATTTGCCCGCCTAACGCCATACCTTTAACGACGAATATAACAAGAATAAAAAATGAAAAATGTATTAAGCTAAGCAATGAGACAGTCCCCTTTTCCGCATCTGCAGTATGCAATAAAAAAGGAGTTAAATTGTTGTGATATATAAAATAAATCCGAAGATTACAAAACATACGCATATATATATATATATATATATATATATATATACGTGTTTGTTTGTGTA